GCTGAAATGGATGAAAAGATGTGAATTGCTCAAGACATGACTGAAGTCACGAGCATTGCATTTCCCGTCTTCATCGGAAGAGGCCATAGAAGAATGAACTGGCACATGCAGCGAGCAAGCATCAAGGTTCAGATCAGAGTCTACGTGAATAACCAGTCAAGACTCAAGATCAAGTTTTAGAAGACTTATAGATATGAATCTTGTAACTCATAGTTGATAGGCTTGTTTATTCTCTTTTGGTTTTGATGTAATGACACGACTACAGATCGGAACCTCGACGGAACCTCACTCGACTCTCCAACTCAGCATTCCATCCTTTTCCTTGAACTACATGCGGCATGATTCCCTTATAACCCGAGATATATAGGTTGTCCAAAACCATGACTCGGTTGCACTCTTTTCTCTTATCTCTTCTCTTTTGAATAATGGTATGGCCAAAAATTAGTTGTATCACTCATCTTTCTTTGTCTGAAAACACTACATCTTTTCAAATAAAGAGGGGCATGCTGTGAGCACCTAATTTTTGACTATGCGTGAATATTTTTTCACTCACTCTCACTTTCTCCATGCACTTCCCTCACATAATCCCTCCACCAACACACACGGACACTCACAAAAAAAGGAGATTCATCTCTACCCCAAACACATATAACAAAAAAGCCAAAAGGGGGAGGAGAAAAATCAAAAAAGGGAGGAGGAAAGTCAAAAAAAAGGGGAGAGAAAATAGAGGGAACGTTCTCTTCGCAAAGGAGGGAGGAAGAATCTGATAAAAAATTATCACCTAAGAGATAAATAAGGGAAAAAAATAAAAAAGTAGCACAACTTGGCTTCTCCACTAAAACAACCTCTTTTCCATCTAGTTTCACCACCAATCCTCCATTAACAACCTCAAAAAAAAAACTCCAAAAAAGAGCTGAAAATCTGCTAAAAATGCAGCCATGAATCTCCGTTAACCACCAGTTAAACACTACCAAAACCAGCAGCTCTTTTACCTTACAAACAGCCCCAATTTCTCTGTTAAACCCATCCCAAAATCCGTACCAAAACCCAGCAGAAACAACCCCAAAAAGCAGCTCCAAACCATCCCCGAACAACTCCAAAAACGAGCTAAGAACATCCCCAAATCAGCAAAGCAGTCAAAAGCTGACCTAAAACATCCCCAAAATAACTCCAAAACACTTTAAAACAACGCTCTTTACCTCATAAAAAAAGGAGCATTTTTTTGAGATCGAGTTCGGTTAAAGCTCCATTCGTTGGTCGCTAGTTCCGTTCAAGTTGCCGGTGAGGTTCCGACGCTGCTGCGTTTTCTGTTCGGGTTCTGGCGAGTTTTCACTGTTAGGGTCCATTTGGCGTCGATTCAGCTGTTGTAATTTCATAGGAGGTGCTTGTTAATAAAGGAAAAATTTTTGTTACTAAAGGTCCAATATTTTACCTTAAATCTTTATTATTTATGTATCTTTTTATGGTTTTGCTTAGAGAAATATCCTGCTACATATTTGTTGAAATTATCTGTGTGTGCGCCTCGATGATGTCCCTACTGGTTTAAGTTCAATTTCGTTAGTTTCCTGCTTGTTTGCTGCTTTTTGTATTCTAAAATTTTGTTTGTTTGATTTAATTTGACTTGAATACCACCTAGTAAAAGAGTTTGCAACGAGACCTATGCTCTGTTTAGTATAATTAATCCTTCATTTGTTAGTTGTGGGAAGAGAGTCTTGTTAACTCTAGGTGGAAATTAGCACTTTAATTATAAATGGACCATTGTTCTTAAGCTGAAGTGGGCTACGTGATTAAAATCAACTTTGGTTCAGTTTCTTTTTTTCTTTTTCTTTTTTACAAATAATGGGCCATGAGGGTTTGGTTTGGTCAGATTAGCAATAATCAGAAATGGGCTCAAATAGGTTCAAAATACCAAGCCCAACACAATAGATTAGTGAATAAGCTAGTCAGTCTTTCCTTAGCTAATTAGTTTTGTTTCCTCCACAAATAAATTTCATAACCTTGGACCTTCACAATAATCTCAAAATTAGTTTAGGAAAATTCTTAGAATGCGTTAGGCGCATTTTAATCAATTATCGTGATTATGTACACGTTCGCGTGACATAATTATGGTTTTCAAAATAAATCAAGGTACGCGTTCGCGCGACTTTAGCCGAACAATCATAATAATTAATAAAGTGTTATTAATTGTGTACACGTACGCATGTCATGATTTTAGCATAATAAACAAAACGGATTCACACACGTGATTCGTTTCTAAGATAATCCCATATTTAAAAGCAGATAGATAAAACATGGAAACCAATAAATAACAGTTTATCCAAAATTAATTCAAGCCAAGTTCTAGTCAATAAAGCGACTGTGCTAAAACCACGAGACTCGGGGAATGCCTTACACTTTCTCCCGGGTCAACAAAATTTCTTACCTGGACTTTATTTTCTCAGACCAATAATAAAAGAGTCAATTCTTCCTTTGAATAGGGATTCAAATAAAAGGTGACTTGGAATACCCAAAAATCTATTCCAAGTGGTGACTCTGTAAATAAAATAATTCCTACTCAAATTTGTTACTTTAATTGNTATGCATTATAGTAGAATCGGATGACCCAACCGGTCATTCCAAATAATAAAATTATCTTGATTAGTAAACTTCTCATTTACTAAGGCATGTATTTCAATCCTGCTAATACTTGTGTAATATAAGCCGGATGAAAGAGCGGGTAACATTTCGAGTACATATTTCTTACCCGACTTTATTTTAGTAATACAAAGATATTCAATCTTTTCATTTTTTGTAGTCTAAATGTGATATCCATTTTGGCGAATATCTTTGAAACTTAGTAAGTTTCTTTGAGACTTACTACAATATAATGCTTCATTAATAGCCAAATTTGTTCCTCTGGATAGTAACAAATTTGCTTTTCCATAGCCTTCAATTAATTTTGTACTGCCGGATATCGCATTAACATTGGCTTCTTTCATCACAAAATAAGAGAAATATCTCGTATCTCTTAAAATAGTATGTGTTGTAGCACTATCTAAAAGACATATATCATCTTTATTGATCTTGGGTCTAACTGAAGACTGGGAAATTTTTATATTCTTCATAAATAAACAAAAAGTATATCATAAGAAATACATGCTATAAATAAAAGAAACACGAGGAATGTAGAAACTAGCATATATGATGCTTTAGGGAAGTACACTAAGAAAAACAAACTACATAAAGACATAATATGAAAATAACAACTTTTCTTAAAGCTTTATTCCCCAGTAAGATAATCACTTCTTCAGTCAATATCCTCAAAGAAGTCTCCAGCTTCTAAATGAGTAATATTTGTAAGGCCTCCAAAATCATCATCTTTATATGTAATATTTGCCTCAACATCATCATATTTGTTTGATGGACCTGCTTTATCATCATTATTTTGAAAAGTCAAGTGTGTTTCCACATTGTTATCTTTTCTTTTATTGGATGCTTGATAAAGTTTGACAAAATGGTCAGGTGTACGACAAACACGTGCCCAATGACCTTTCATACCACACATGTGGCAAATATTAACTCTTCCTTTTAAAGGATTATTTTGAGGATCCTTATTGTTCTTTTTTTATTTTTACCATGATGACGATAATTATTTCGTGCCCTTCCATGTCCATGTCCACGTCCACGACTATGGCCACGACCACGACCACGATAATGATTTTGTCTTCTTTCAGACTTTTGAGTAGCTGCTACCATATTCATTTCGAAAAATGGTGCAGATCCAGTGTGACGTGCTTCGTGATTTTTTATTTAAAGGGTATTATGTTGCTCAGCCACCAGTAGGCTTGAGATTAATTCAGAATATTTCTTTAAACCCTTTTCACGGTATTGTTGCTGCAATACCATATTTGAGGCATGAAAAGTAGAAAGAGTCTTTTCTAGTAAATCCTCATCATTCACAATTTCTCCACATAATTTAGGTTGGGAAGTTATCCTAAATACAACATAATTATATTCACTTACAGTTTTAAAATCGTGTAACCGTAAGTGAATTCATTCATATCGAGCTCTCGGCAATATCGTTGCCTTAGGATGATCATATCGTTCCTTCAAACTGCTCCATAATTCAAATGGATCTTTTAGGGTTAAGTATTCAGTCTTTAACCCTTCATCGAGATGATGACGAAGGAAAGTCATAGCCTTTGCTTTATCCTGGCCTGATGTTTCATTTCCTTCTATAATAATATTTTCAATAACTTTTGTAGTAAGGTGAATTTCAGCATCAAGGACCCATGATAAATAATTCTTTCCGGATCGACACAGGCGTAAAATAAATATACCAGAAAGCAGAGTGGTGGTAGCTAGTGTGTGTCACATCGGACTTGAGTAGAAGCTAATTCGTGCTTATAACGTGTTATGAAATAAAAGTAATTTAGTAAAACATGAACAAGAAATAAAGATAGAGAAAGAAGATATTTTCTTGTTCAATTGTGTGTATTTTTCTATCTATTATAAAGCCTTTATATAGGCATAAAAAGTGGAAGAAAAATATGTCATTAATGAACATCACCCATAGATATCCACCATTATTTAGGGCCTGATTTGCCTTTTTACTATCATAAATAGGCCTTATTTACCCTCCGTTTAATTTTTCTATCAACAATATCCCTACAGTTATACATTAGGTTCATATTTACCTCTTACACGTTAAAACAGGTTACATTTTTCCTTCGTTATACTTTAGGATTATATTTACCCCTCTAATCTTCAAAAAGGGTTACATTTACCCTTCGTTATACTTTCTTGACATATTTATCCTTACAATTATACCCTACATTTACCCTCATCCGGTAGATCGCTATGTCCCACCTTTATTTTCCTGCATGGCGCCTATGCGGATTTCTTTTTCTTCCAATTTAAATATGGTCACCTATTTAAGATAATTTAACCCGCCCACCCAATTTAAATAAGACACACTAACTAAAATAAATATAAATCATAATTGCCAATCCCCCACTAGTCCATCTCTCTTCTCCGGGTCAACTCCATATTTTGGCCCTTTTCCGTTGTTTTTAAGGTTTTATTAAAGCAAGTCAACGACACAGGCTTTTATCTAGATTCTTAACAAGAACTTGCTGTCTTGTTAAGAATTTCATTTGGGTGTGCGTTTATGCTTGTGTTTGATTCACGGTAAGCAAGTTAGAGCTCTTTGTCATTTTTTCCTTTTCTTTTTAGAATTTTTGCTGCCCCTTTAATTTCTTTTTCTTGTGCGTTTATCTGATTTAAGTTCTTATTTGTTTGAAAAATTCAATTTTTCCAGTAATACCCATTTCATTTTTGGAGTTGGGGGTGGTGGGGATATGTCATGAGTCATTGGGAAGTGAGTAGTATGTTGTAATTCTTGGATACTATTGCAAAGCATTATAAGGTTTAATGTTGTAGTTGCTTAATTAATTTGAGCAATGCAAACTGAAGTAACCAATTAAATTCACTAGTTATTTCACTGGTTAATATTTCCTTCATTCGGTACTTAATTTCAGTTTAAATTGTTATCTTTTCCTATTGTACCTTACTTTTGCAGATTCTGCTTTGCGCTTTGGATCATTTGATTGATTCTTATCATCCAATAAATGATCTCTATTTGTGCTGTGTACCAGCACCACACACACAGTGGAAACAAATGCTGCATTGTCTGCGGCGATTATCATTAACAGCAAAAACTAATCACTCACCTCCAGCTTTGGAAGGTAAATTTTTTGAGTTTTAGCTGTAGTGAAGTACAAAAGAATCAATTATGTTTCGCCGGTTTCTGTTGTTATCCCAAACTTGAAGCTATGTTAATTGAAGCATTAAAGATTTGAAAATGAGCAAAGATTCATTATGTATAAATTTTTGTGTGGCACATGGTAGGTGCAAGGCGGGTTGTAATTAGGTACTTGCAGCGGCGGAGCTAGTAGGAGGGAAGGGGATTCAATTAAATCCCATGAAAAATTATAATGCACAAATAGGGAAAAATAATTTTTTTTTGTTATATATAAACTGTTGAATCCCCTTGATACAAGCGAAAATTCTAGTGTTATGGTAAAGGTGGTACAAAAGCTGCTTTAGGTAAATAGTGCTTATACCAGGTGGCATTTAAATATCTTTTGAATCCCCTAGTATAAATTCCTGATTTCACTATTGTTTGTAAGCTTCATGTCATTAACAGGAAGTTCAAGATATTTACTTAAGATGAGGAATCTCTGTGGTTTAGACTTGAGTAAGCACATGTGGGATTGAGCGAAGTGGCTAGAACGACAAGAAATGCAGCTGCTCCATATACTTGTCCTCTTGGAAAACAATTAGATATTGGTAGAATCCTTTCTGTACATATTTCCTGACACCATCTTGATGGGATGTTAATGATATTTTGATTTTACCAAAGAACCACGAAAAAAAAGGAAAGAAAGAAAAAGGGTAGAATCCTATCAGATAATTATTTTCTTCCAGAGAGGATTTGATAGCAGAGGGAAACTCAGGAAACTTCTTCTTTCATCCCTGGATACTCGCGCATTTGTTCTCTGACAAAGTTCGTGATAGACCTGTGCATCCCCTAAATTTTTTCTATATGGCGTATAATTACCTTGCCTTTTTTCTGCTGACATTAATTTACTCTTTTTGAATCATATAGTGTTTGATGGTTCAATAGGCACAAAGATGAAATAGAGTGGTTCGAATGAAAGTTTAGCAATTTTCCTTGCACCAGGCATATTCTGATTCCTTCAAATCTATGTAAATGAACTGCAGGCGATTTAGCTGATGATAAAACATCAAGTTCCCGAGCTTCACCTACTGTCGACCTCTCACAAGCATATGCACTTGTTGTTCAAGCTTCTTGCAACAAAGAGATCTGGTCCAAGGTGCATTATGTGGTCCCTCCGGAACTGAACGTCGAGGTAGCACAAATTGAATTCCAGGAGGAACTGCTGCAACTAGAGGATGTCCTTAAACCCAACCATGAGTCTGTCCAAGAGACACTTCTGCATATAAGACCGGACACCCTAAACCAACTTATTACTAACTACCTTGACAGTACTGAGCAAACTGCTCTTCTCTGTATCCTTATCTCTCAAAGTGTGAACAAAGCTCGACTCTTGTATGCCCCAATTCATAAACTTCTTGATGTCCTTGCCCTGGGCTTGGAGTTTGTTGGACATTCCCTTTCGCAAGCTCAATATGATTTGGCATTTGACATCTTCCTCCAGTTCGACAGCCTCGCTAATCACTTTCCTGGCCGTGACATCTATAACTTCAATGATATGTTTGATAGCTCCTTCCAGCTAAAGAAGCAGCTTGAACTTCGTCTACACAAGTCACGTTCAAAGGTCCAACTTCTCCGACGTGCCATCAGAGGCTCAGCCATATGTTTAGTTGCAGCTACTGTTGGAGTGGTCATATCAGCTGTTATTATAGCTACTCATGGTTTTGCTGCTCTTGTTGCCATCCCAATCTGCCCCGCTTGCCTCCCTTTAAATATGGAAAAGAAAGAACTAGATCTCATGCAGCTGGATGAAGCAACAAGAGGGATTTTTTTTCTCCACAATCACTTAAATACTGTAAAGAGTCTGGTGGGCCGGTTACATGACGCGGTGGAGTCCTACAATGGTACTATTCACTTTGGGCTAGAGAGTGGGAGAGATCGGTATCACATCCAGGAGGCACTGAAGCAACTTCAGAGGAGACATAGCACTTTCCTTGACGAGCTTCTGAGTCTTGACCAACATCTATGTGTATGTTTTGCTGCAATAAGTACGGCTAGAGACCGTCTTCTTAATTATCTCTCATCAAAATCAAGCTCCTCAATAATTTGTTCTTAGTTCTGTAAGTGATCCTTCATACATTTCCTTTTATTTTCTGTCTTTGGTATTTTATTATTTCTGGCATGTTAATTTTACGTTTTCACTTTGCTGCGATTCTTTAAAGGCTGCTGGACCTCTAACTTAACAGTACCAAGAATGCAGCTAGATGTCTCCCAATGAGCACGGAAATGGGGG